AGAAAGTCTCTGAGGGCGGCGGGGAGTACGGAGTACGAGTGGCGCACTGTTCGGGCGTGCAGGAGTTCTGGCTGCCCGGATCGCTTCCCGATCCTGATGCATGAGTGGAGGTGGGTATCACTCATGGACCCGTCGAGCAACCTACAAAGAAGCCCAACCCGAGCCACTGTCCGGCGGTGGCAGAGGCTCTGCCACCTGAGGGCCCTAAGGCGAGCTTCATATGGCGGCACAGGGACTTGATTTGATTTGATTTACAAAAAAAAAAAAAAGCTAAACATTATTTCAGATACAGCCTAGTATTAATAACAAAAAAGAAACTCGTTCGTGGAAGACGAACGAGTAAGAAATCAGTAAAGGCTCATAATTAAATATTCGCGCGATCATAAAGGTACCTTTAGCTAACATACTTAACGGTTGGCGGCGGGTCAATTCACGATCGTCCGCGTGTGTCTTGTGCTCGCGGCACAGGAGCGCGGACTGATTCGCCGATTTCAAAAGGGCCTATGTTACAAATACCTATATGCTGGCCGCATTCCCACGGGCAGCACAAAGATACCGTTGACATAGGTCCCTGTGTAATCGGCGAATCAGCCCGCGCTCTTGAACCGCGAGCACAGGCCACGTGTGGAGGATCTCGGCCTGATTCGCTGCCGGCCATAAAGCTCCCTTAGGAAAAAACATCTTTATGATCGTTTCAATGGAGCCATGCGTTCTCCCTGGCGCCTGCATGTTTGTTGCTCCGGAAAGTGAACGAACCACACGTCATACACAGAAACAGTTAAAATGACACCGACTAACAATGGCATGGTGGCTCACTGTTATGGGTCCTCTGCATCACGTCACGACCATGATTTTCCTCGCCGTGACGTGATTCTGGCTACTTATCATTAGTGGCAAACGATATGTTCTATAACGCTTGTAACAAAAAAAAAAAAAAAAGAAAAATAGCAGGAATCTGGAGCTATCGGATGCTCAAGCCAGCACCGTCAGCATTGACAGATTGAACATTATTCTTGTTTCCGCCAATGAAAGCAGAATGAATCCCTTTTTAAGACGTCATAGTGAGTGTTTGGCGTGTCATGGAAAGTAAGGCCCCTTGACGTGTTTCCATTTGTCTTGCATGCAGCGTGAATTGCGCCAGTGCACGAGGCCCGTGACTCGTTCGGCCATTGGAAGCAAATGGCGGCGAAATGAGCGGCCCTCGGAAGAGAATATCGGCAGAGCACTCGATCGTGACCATATCTCGGCATTCCTCACTCATGAGTGCGATCACTCACATCCACTCACACTCATCGTTAGATATGAGGTGAGCGTGAGTGAGGCCGTAAGTCTCGGAAAATTGTGAGTGAGTGTGAGTTTTGAGAACTCATGAGTGCGACTGCGAGCGTTAGTTTCGGGAAGTCGTGACTGAGTGCGAGCGTGAATTCTGAGAACTCGTGAGTGTGGGTGCGAGTTTCAAGAACTTATGAGCGTGAGTGTGATGACCTTGATGAGCTTCTGAGAACTCGTGAGTGTGAGTGCGAGTTTCAAGAACTTATGAGCGTGAGTGTGATGAGCTGTGGCCTTGAGTGTGATGAGATGAGCTGAGAGCCTGATGACCGCGATGATAAGGGTGAGTGAATTTTGGTTTCGTGTTTAATCGTGATGGCCAGTGTGTTTGTTTGTGTGTGTGTGTGAGATGGAACTTGTTTTGAATAAATCGTGATTTTTATATGAGAGTGAGTTTTGGTTTTGTGTTTAATCACGAAAGTGAGTGTGTGGGATCACCCTGTGTTGAATAAATCGTGACTGCGACTAAAGGGGATTTTTAGTTTCCCGTTGGATCGTGATGGTGAATGTCTGTGATGACCGAATAAATCGGGATTGTGAGTGTGATTGCGATTTGATGAGAGAAACGGCGGTAATCTTGAGTGTGAGTGAGATCGGCTCAAATGCCGGCCTATGCTCATGACGCGTGTCTTGCGCGTTCTCAAAACAATTGACGGTACTTGCAAAAAACGCCAAGAATTTTATCAAAACTCTAATGGAGAGCCGATCATAGGATTCATTTTGACTACCTTGGGGACCTTTCGAAGTGCAAACCAAATGTCGGTATCAAGGCGCCTTCTCCGGAATAAGCCTCCATCAGGATGCAGGTACCTCGGGCGGAATTCGAACCCGTCACTTCCGGAATCCGAACCCACCGGTCTGTAGGCCGGCGCTTTGCCTCGGAGCCACAGGCTCCGGGTTAATATTGTGACTCAACCATAAAACGAAATGACCTATCAAAACGCCGTTTATTTTCTTCCATGGCTTGCACAAAGTACGCAAAAAAAAAAAAAAGATCGGGCGTGATTTTTAGGAACTCAAAAAGTAAATTGTGATAAGATGATTAGTCAAAATCGCTAATCCCTGATCTATATTATAATTATGAAATGAAGTTTATAAAACACGAAAACTCAAACTGCTAGAAGATATTATGTAAATTCGCGCAAGCAATAACTAAATAAAATAAATATATGAATAGGCAAAGTGACGTCTTTCAGAAATAAAAACATGCAAAACATCCGACCTTGCTTTATTTCATCGTCTTCGACAGTACAATGGAATAAAGGCAAGGCTGCGTCATAGTCGACGTCAGCGCTAAGTTCACTATCCTGTTTTTGTGCGCTTTAAAATAGCTATGACAAAACATATTTTGCAAGCTGACAAAAATCAAATGATGCAAAACAATCGCTGCATGTGGTAGGAAACTTCAGGTTGAGGAATGACGCGGGAAAGCAGTCAAAGAAAAAAAAGCTAAATCCCCTAAAAAAAAAATATATATATATATATATATATCAGTGTGTCTAACCGAAAAAAAAATACGGGTTCGGTTACGGTTCAGGTTCAGGTTCAGGTAAATTTATTTTGTTCCGGTTCAGTTCCGGTTCGATTAATTCGATCCGCGAACCGGTTCGCAAACCGGTTCGGGGCGCTGAACCGGTTCGCGAACCGGTTTGGAAATTATAAATGACAAATTGCAACATCAAAATAAATTACAAATAAAACATCTGAAATCACGAAACGGGATACATCGTAGTGTAAGGCTCAGGGATTTCTACCAGGAATGGTTTCTTTATGTGCACTCAAAGGTTACCTCACCGACGTTTACGCATTCGGACTTCATCTAATTGGGTCCGACGCAGTAGCTGTAAAATCCGCGACCTCCTTACAAACCCACTTACAAGTAGAACTTGCTAACTATCCCGCCACCTCGGCGTGTAAGCAATTGAAGGAACAGTTGGGAGAAAATACAGCTTTCTTTATTTGAACTAGCCTTCGGTAACTCAAATTAGACCCTGAAGTTTTCATTAAACAAGATACGGAATATGAAAAACACTTCACCGAACGCAACGCCAGAAGGACGTGATAGGATAAATATTAAAATTGAAGAGTTCGCTGTCTCACAAATATCTTAGCTTCTAAGTGCCGAAACCGGATGCATTATTATCAAACTCCACAGCCTTTTCTTTTCTTATTCCGATGGAAGCAAGCTTCAAGAACTCGCGCGTTCTAGAAACGTGTTATGAAATGAGCACACAGCAACATTTAGGATTTACGAGATTGTAGGAAAATGAAATCCCGCGACGCGATTTTTTTTTCTTTTTGCACAGCCTTCCAATTCTTCCGTGCAAGCCGCGACCAGCGCAATACTGGTTCCTATGTCAAGATTCATGGATGCAGCGTTTGTCAAGATTCATGGATGTAGCGTTTATATTCCTAAGACTGAGTGGAGAAGAAAAATATGTAAGCGACGTGTGTGTCAGTTGACGGCACTTAAAAAACAAATGGCATTGATAGCACATTCATTGTCAACAGCGCGTGGCCGAACCGTTTTGACATGAGCCGGTAACCGTTATTTTTTTTCCGGTTCAGTTCCGGTTCGGGTTCATCGCGATAACAATATAACGGTTCGGGTTCGGGTTCAGTTCCGGAAAAATTACCGGTTCGGTTCCGGTTCGACACCCTGATATATATATATATATATCAGGGTGTCGATATATAGGTGGGCTCGCCTTATTCCGTTGTGGTTCAACACGAGATGAAACGAAGTATGGTCGGCACCGTAAAAAGGAAAATGACCCTGTAGAGGAAAAAGCCTTCAAGAAGCCGACAGGAAATTGATGCCACCAGTACTTTGGACGCGCTGGTGACGCCAGCAACAAACACGCAAGAAAAGAGAAAAATGTCTCTTTTCTGGGAGGTCTTTCGCACCCTACGAGTAGAAAGGGCTAACCGAGCGAGGGTCCCCCTGCGGTCGCGCCCCGAGAGCCGAGTGACGAGCCCACCTACCCCAGCTTTCTTCAGGCGTGGCCCTGGGCTCCAGCCTCCTTAGCGCCCCCCTTAATCCAGGGCTGCGCCTGGTGATAGTTACGAAATTGCAGAGGGTAAGCAAATAGGCGAAGAAAAAAATCATATTTTTGTTTCTTCATTTCTAGCATAGGGTACAGCCATTAGCATCCATCCATCCAGCTGGCTAGTCTGGGCAGTTTGCCCACTGAGTTTGCCGATGAGAAAGAAGTAACAAATTTAAAGCATCTGCCGCAAATTTTCTTGGCAGGCATCCGCGAAAAACAAAGAAAGAAAAAAAAAAAAAAGGCAACTAAAAGAGCGTTAGCTAGTTGAGGTAACTGACCACTGATCTCTAGAAATCAGTGTAACTGCTGACTGATAAACCAGAATGCCAGAAGATGAAGCTAGAAGGCCAGCAGCGGAATTGTGTTAAAGTGCTGGATATTTTATTTAATTATCCAGAAATGAGTGATTGGAGGGGCGCCATAATTGACGGTTATAAAATAGATAAATTGATACATGCTCGATGTTTAGATATTACATCCCATTTCGCGTGAAACGTGTCCTTTTGTGTACTTCATATTACTCTCTTCGGGCTGGTGTCGCCATCTGGCTGGTGTGTCTAGAATTACGAGGCGCGACTTGGGTTTGAACTCGCACTTGAAGGTCAATAAAGAAACACAGGCCTTGATTCAAAACTTGGAAGACTAGTTACATTTATTTCTATACACCTAAGGAATCTTTTGAAAGACACCATTTTGAAATTCCCTGCTGTAGTATGCCCAATTGCTTTTGATTGCAGGCCACAGGAGACCGAAGTTTTTCTTGTACCAAGTCCTGCGGTGGGTGGCAAAAAACATAAATAAGTGCAGCATAAAAAAAAAAAGTAACAAGAAAACGTTAAGCAGTAATGAAACGCTTACCAGTTGTACTGCATATGCTTCTGGTGGTTGTCATTTAAGAAAGTTCGGTAAAACTCTGCCATCTCTTCAGCTGGTACATTTTCTTTCTTGATACCTTGCCTGCTGTACTCCTCCAACTTTCTTCGAGTGAACTCATCTTTCTTCTGCGTGTACAATGTGCTAAAACTTACAATCAAATCACAAATATATAAATGCATTTTTAATAGCACTGTCTCTCTTTTATCAATGGGAAATCGGTAATAGATCGATGGATGAATCCGGCTGAGCCCTTTGGATCGGGCGGTGGCTTACGCCACCTAGCCATTTTGTTTTACCATTTAAGCATAGATCCTTTTCAAAACTGTGCGCCACCTAGTAGATGCTGCGCCAGTTATGCGAGACCGCCATTGTTTAGGCACATATTGTTCTGGTGTTCGGTATGAAAGTATGAACTCGGATCCAATCAAGCCACCATACCAATCATATGCTTTGTGCCAAAGAAATGGCGACCACCAGTCTTGCTTGATGGACTTTTGGAAAGGATCTATTCGGGGAACTAGAGCTCTTGAATATGCTACGCTTAAAGTATCGGCTCTAAGGGTAACATACCCTGTGAAAGTCAGTGTTGTGTTTTGTCCAGTACTCCTGGTTCCAATCCTGGACAGCGGCGTATTGCATCCTGAACTGCGCTTCTGCAGGGGACTCGTTTTCTGGGACACGAAGTTTCACGTGCCTCAGATTGGACACGGGATCAGGCGGCGACACGAGCGTGGCGACGCTGGACAGACGTGCTACATCTTGCGGTCTGACCACGTCTTGCGACTTGTTGACTCTCACGGATGCCGTTTTGTTCTGCAATAGGCCATTCTAGTGTGAACACGTAGTGTAAATGCAGAAGTCGCGTTTAGCAGACGACTTAGCGGACGGGAATTCTCGCTCTGCAGACGACCTTTCAGACACGAAGCTGCGCACTGAGTTAATTGAGCAACCAGGCTACAAATTAGAATAATAATGCATAAATTGGCAACTTGGAAAGCTCAAAATAATGTTATAAGCGCGAAAAATACTCACGTTCTTGGATAAAAGGCTCAGAAACCTTTTGATGCCTTTCATTTCTGCAGTTTCTTCACAAAGCACTGGGCGCGGCCATTTTAAAGAAAGCGAACTTCGTCACGCAAGAGCCGCCGCTTCGTATTTATTGTGGTAAAAATATTTAATAAATAGTAATGTGTTCCATTTATCATAAATAAAAATCACAATGAACTAAAAATCAAATTTTTGGTATAAACAAATACTGGTCAGGCGGTTTCTGATTTTATCGGACGTGTAATTCGAGCGTGCGGTTGGAAACGTACGGCTTATTCAACAGTGTCAAGAAACATTGCAGTGATTGCACGTGTGGATCTGGCGTTACAACGTGAAGTTGTCAGTTTTGTGCTCCAAAACAACGTGAAATCTTAAAAAATTTCCATAAAGTGCGCGAAAAGTTTTTGTGACCGCCATGCCGAAGGTAAAAACACAACGGACTCGACCCCACGAGGAGGTACAGCGGCAGAACATCGCGTTTCGCACCGAGCTCGGGCAGCACATCCTGAAGAACCCGCTGGTGATCAACAGCATGATCGAGAAATCGGCCATCCGACCCACAGATGTAGTCCTCGAAGTGGGTCCCGGCACGGGCAACATGACTGTCAAACTGCTCGAAAAGGCCAAGAAAGTGGTCGCCTGCGAGGTAGACACCCGCCTCGTCGCCGAACTCCAGAAACGAGTCCAAGGCACCCATATGCAGAGCAAGCTTCAGATTCTGGTGGGCGACGTGCTCAAATCCGAGCTACCTTTCTTCGACATATGCGTCGCTAACCTTCCCTACCAAATCTCGTCGCCGTTCGTGTTTAAACTCCTGCTCCACCGTCCCTTCTTCCGGTGCGCCACGCTCATGTTTCAACGCGAGTTTGCGCAGCGGTTGGTCGCTAAACCTGGCGATAAGTTGTACTGTCGCTTGTCCGTGAACACGCAGCTTTTGGCGCGCGTCGACATGCTGATGAAGGTGGGCAAGAACAACTTCAGGCCTCCGCCCAAGGTGGAATCGAGCGTTGTGAGGCTGGAACCGCGCAATCCGCCGCCGGCCATCAACTTCGTGGAGTGGGACGGACTGCTTCGAGTCTGCTTCGTGCGCAAGAACAAAACGCTCGGCGCCGAGTTCAAGCAGACGGCTGTCTTGGCGATGCTGGAGAAGAACTACAGGGTCCACTGCTCCGTGCAGAACGAGATGCTGCCCGAGGACTTCAGCATGAAGGACAAGGTGGAGGAGCTGCTGAACGGCGCCGGGTTTGCTGACAAGAGGGCGCGTACAATGGACACGGACGACTTTCTAGCGTTGCTGCATCTCTTCAACTCAAACGGGATTCATTTCGCGTGATACCGTTGTTGTTGCGCTGTTGTTTTGGCGCTATAGGTTCTGCAAGTTTGTGTGTGCGTTGAGGCAAAATTGTCCACAGAGTCGAGCGACACGCTTCGTGTGCGCGCGGTGAATTCGGCGATCGGATCGGACGTTTTCAGCCACATCCAGTAGGTCCAAGGTTTCGGGGGAGCGTGTGTCGGTTGCTGAAGACGAGCGGCTGAAAACGTTATTTCTGGTTACTTAATTTGCCGTGCACGCGAAACATTGCATGTCTGTTAAGTGGTGTCGTTCCACTGACACGACAAGGGCAGATTTTGTTTTTTGTCCGTCGGCAAAACGAAATTGGGTCTTTTGGAAACTCGAGCGATTTCGCACACCATCGAATGTGTTGACAAAAATGTTCAGTTTTAGCCAGTCTCGGAAGCATAAAAAAAAAAGGGGGCTGTCAACGAAGTGTATTCACATGTTGGTGAACGTTTGATATTTGTCACTCCTTTTGCGGTGTGCCGCATAAACGCGTTTATTGTATGCTACGCTGTATTTGCGGTTTGAGCGAGTCTGTGAGCCGGCTGGCCGCTGGAGTGGCCGTTAGTTACAGAGTTGCCCTACATTCTTTCACGGCGTTGAGGCGATTTGCTGTAAATATATTTTCAAATGTCACACATATAGGTGTATTTGTGAAACACTGATATCTGAGAAGAAAAATGCGCCGGTCTTCTCGACACTGCAGCCTGGGACAGTGATCTGTCTGCTAAGCAAAGCCCTGTTCACAGACTTGCAACCGAGACAAGACCGGTTTTAAAGCCTCCTGCGACGTCTTGGAACTAGCTCCGCAGCAGCGCATCCTGTCCTAAGACGTCGCAAAACCCCTTTAAAAACCGGTATTGTCTCAGTCGATCCTACTCGGTTGCAAGTGTGTTAGAAAATTGCCAGTGGCCACGATTACTGTTTTTTTGTAGCAGCCTGCATTCAGAGCACTGTGCGTCGACGGACTTTCTTGGCTCCAACATGCGAAAGGTGGCAGGTCTGCACTGTCGGCGCCACAAAGCACGAGCTACCGGCAACACGACAAACGATGAAGAGCGCTACCAATTCAGCGGATCACTGATATTCCACTATGTGAATGTCGCCAATGAACGACCAGCACCTTTAGCAGAGTAGCCAACATAAATTCCTCTGTACACATGCTGTGATGATGCTGCCGGCACTTTTCGCCATACTGTCTGCTTTGGCAGAATTCATATCTCCAATGCCCTATAGGCATTTTTCATTTACTTTAGTTCTCAGTCACGCGTATTCCATATTTGGCATGTGGTACAGAATAATAACATTTCAACCTGGAGTATGCGAAAAATATAGGCGAGCGAAACAAGAATGACAATCGCACATGTTTCGTGAACCCCTTCCAGCGGCGTGGAGAGATCAAAACAATGTTTTAACGCATACCAGAAGTGACGACATTAAAGATGGCTGCTTCCTTGTGGAAAAGGTGCATAGACAGCAGTAGTTCCAAGATGGCGGAAAAGACAATAGATTCTCCAGGATTTCTTGTGAGCCTGCTTGACGACGCTGCCTAGTGTGCTAGAATTAATTTATTTGGCTGAAAATACGAAGTGGTCAGGACAGAAGCATATTAAAAGTAACAAAGGTGATGATGTGCGTTTAGAAAAATTAGCATGTTGATTTTTAAAAATTGCAAGCGGAACACAATTTTTTATTTGGCGCACTCGCTTTTTCCGTTAAAACGGCACGATGCACGAACGCATCCGACCAGAACCATGCGGTAACAGTTGCACCAAGTCCGATAGTCCCTGCCACCATCTCCGCTGCTGTCCCCACTCTGGTGCTTTGTTCGTTCGTGAGAGGGCAAGTGGCGGGCTCGAGTTGCGAATACCGCTTCGTCCGTTTCTCGTATAAAGAGATGTCCCAACATGTTCCACTCGCAACACTGGAAGTTGCAAGTGCATTCATAAACAGTGTTGCACAGTTGGATACAATGTGCACTTTATGCCTCGATGGTGTGAAGACTGTGTACGTGGCGTCTCCCAGAAACTCCCACCACAACTAGCACTCAAACACGAGTGGAATAAAAAGCTTGCGGTCGCGAACCCCGGCGGCTTTGATCCCGCTTTTGGCGTCTGCTCATTTCCTCCGAAGCATTTGCTCGCCGTCTTTCCGCCTCGCATCCTCCAAACTCTCCCGCCATATTAGTGAGCATGCCCGATCAACGACTCCCAGATAACGAGGTCGTACTGCTGGGAAGGAAGGATAGAACGGGAAGACAAAGGTTAATTGCGCGATTGTTTCGGTTTGCGACACTGTGCTGGGGATTATTGGGGGGATTTAGAAGAGGTATAAACTGGAGAAGTGGAGGATAAAAGGCACAAAAGTTGGCAAGATTTGTACGCCATAATGCAGCAATGAGGTTGATTCTCTACAAGCAGAGGTCCAGGTGCGTTTCCCTCGGTATAAAAGGGCTTTTGTTGCCTTTGCACCATTGTGCGGTTCGACCCAAACACCCTTGTGACAAAAAGAAGGGCAGTTATCCAGGCATGCTCTTCTTTACTTATGGGAGGCTGTTTAGCTGGACAAGAGTTCCGGCTGAACGCTGACACCACTTGTGCGACGGTCTTCCGTTAGGAAAGTGTTGCCTGAAGCTGGTAAGGGCCAGCCATACAACATATTTCATGTTTAACAATTCCTGGCCTCACCGCCCGGGGTATGTTGCTCTATGAACAAGGTGTCTCGAGGCATCATCTGGTCGTCGCGTGCGACTCGCGGTTACTCGGTAAGCACTATTTCCAGCATCCACTGGTCTTTTGGAACGTGGCACATTGGGAAACTCCAGTGGCTCTAGCCCTGCCTGTGTTTGTCTCGGAGAGCATGCCCTCGGGATCTCGCTCCTTACCTTCACGCTTCAGCCGCCATGCGCGAGATTGTTTAAAAATAATCATGCCCGTAGGTTTAGAGGGGCAGGAAGTTAGTTGACCTCAATGGGGCTTCTGGTTGTGTCCACAGTACACGAGAAATTTAGCCAGTGCAGTACCACTGGTGCAAGACTACAATGTCCGTCCACATCGAAATGGGCAGGGGTTGGGATTGAACTCAGGATCCCCAATGTAAGCTTTTGGTCCACGTGCCCAAAGCTGTGGTGCGTTATCACGCTCTGCCATTGATCCCAAAAACTGCTCTGGACTGTAATGAACTAACGAAAGACCCGCACGGAACGGTTGCACATCTGGGATGCTTGATGTCTGCTTAAGCGAAGCCGTTGCTTCTTCCACCTGCACCGTTGGAGCCTTGGGTGGATATGCTGCAGTGCATGTGGTGTAGCAAACGCACCCAAGGTTCCACAGCAAAGATCGTGCAGTCCAGTGTGTGGAAGGTAAGGGTGTGAGTTTAGAAAAGCCCCTAGCCAACTTGAAAGCCAAGGAACAGGCAAGTACATGGGCAGGATGGCACTTAACGGCACTATTGTTCCAGGACACTGCACTGCAGAGATTTCGTATGAATCTCTACTCTTCTTAACATATTAAAAAGAGGTCTTCAATCCATCAATCTCTTCCTATTGCAAGATGGAGAGCAACGACTGAAATTTTGCTGGTATGCAGTGTCTTGGTTGAGGCAAGCGGACCCCTCAGTATACACCACTTTCAATCAAGAGACTGGGAGCCTCTTAACATGCATTGTCTGGTGCGGTGAGCAAAGCCACCAGACATTGCTTCCAAAGGTCAAATGCTTTTGTGACAAGATTTAAAAATTTCTATGACATGGGGCTTGGCTTACATTCCTCATATGAATCGCCTGAGGTATGGAGCTTTCTTTCCCGTTCTGGGTCAAGAGTCACATAATAATTACCAAGAAAATTTCATTTATAAAAAAATCTATTCATAGAGCAAAACAATTTTGCATTGAAACAGAAAGAGAGACAATACCTATATCAGTGACAGGTTAAGAATTCGGTATAAGCTCCCCCTTCAGCAACTGCATGTTGCCTTCTGCACGGTTTAACAAACTGTTATCAAAAGCAAAAAGCTTGCACTGAAGGCGGAGCATCTAGTGCATTCTTAACCTAGAACTGACTACAGGTATGTTTGGAAATACTGTAGTTATGCACCCTGGCAGTGGCACAGCCAGAGTTGTTTGGGGGGAGGGGGTGGGGGCCTCAGATCTCGACTTGGGAAGCGGGGGTCACGCATAAATACAATGGGTATTCAGTGGTTGCCACATTTGAGGGCGATGTTTAGAGTACATGCCCAGAACAAACTCATAATAGGCTACTAAGATCGGCAATCTTAGTGGTGTGAAGGCACGTTGCAGAACTGTGGAAGCTCACCTTCAGCATGCACCCAGCGGTTGCGAACACAGCAATGGCCGCCAGTGAATACTCCCATGTTGTAGGGTGGGCCACATTTTGGAAAAAAATGCAGCCCACCCCCAAATGTAGCCAACCCGCTTCCTCCCCCACTACGCTGTCATACCTTGGATACATTTTTGTACACTGCCGTAGGTAGACTTGGGGGCAGAATGGAACCTTAATCGTAGGTGTATCCAATTTGTTATATCAAGAGTTCTGTGTTTTCGGATAAATCCGAACAACTCCAACTCCAAAAAACACCCGCCAGTAAAATTTTGGTCAATTCGGATTTATCCCATGAATTGCAAATTTTAATGTGCCAATGCCTCCCCCTCCTCCCCCCTTAAAAAAAATAAATAAAAGGAAAAAGACGGTATTTTACAATAGTGTTCTACCAGCGCACAAGGTCAATGGTCCTGGAAAAATGCCACCACAGTTACCTTTCCAGTCATAGACCATTGCCGAAAGGGGTCTTACTGCTTATCTCGTCAAAATTAATTAAAAACAAAAAAAGAAATTGGATTGTGTGTAGTATGCTCATACAGCCTCAACTACGTCTGCCTCAACAGGCAACTTTTCTCCCAGCTGTAGATGAGCAATTCAGCCAGTGCAGTACAACCACTAACCTGGGGTCTTTAACAAGGGCACCACGCAGTAGCGACACACGACCGCACACCGGTACAATACTTCTCCAGGTCGAAACAGGCGGGAGTGTGGATCCAACCCAGGATCCCTGGGTTCTGCAGCGCGAGCTTTCGCAAGGTTTATTCAGGACAACAGGTCATTGTACTTTCGGGTCACGACAAAAGCCACTGTTGTAGTTTCCAGTTTGGGCCATACTATTTGTGCTTCAGAGGAAGGAGAGGTTGTGTTTTTGTAAGAATGAAAGCCACAGACCATGAGATTACATAAAATGAAGAAGAGGGGCAGCTAAACTTCTTTATTACATCTTTTACCACTTCACCTCACGTGGGCAGTAGGTTGATGAAATGCGATGGAATGAATATAAGCTTCCCAGCGATTACCTCCAGGAGTTTGATTTTAAGGTATAGACATTGATCGAAGCAACACCAGTGATGTGATTGGCCTCAGCCATTGGGGAGCATCTTTCGGAGCAGCCAAAACAGCGTTCTGGAGCAGCAAATATGGCCTTTGGAGCAACCGAAACAGTGTTTTAGAGCAGCAAAAGTGGCTTTTGGAGCTGATATTATTAGAAAAACAAAAACATTTGTTTTAAGGGCTCCACAAACGAATGTACTTTTTCTAGTGTTCTGTTCTGATGTGACATGTTGCAACGGAGCTCGCTGCCAGTGTTTTTACTGCTGAGGCATCCCACAAGTGTACAGTGCTGTAGGCGTAGCTGAGCAATTTCGAAAAATTGCTTGCCACCGTTTTACCGATTCCCGACGCGCCAGATTTTCGTCAAAAGTAAGCAAACGTACAACAATGGATCGCAAGCGTCCCGGCTGGTGCCTCTGTCGTGCAATCATGATTGCATGCACGTGAGGGCAACCTCGGCAGGCTTGCAGTTGCACGAGCGGAGACAACGGCTATTCGATTGAAACTATGCCACTCCGCATCGTCACCAACTGATTCCCAAAATTGAATGCAAAATGTAACTGTCGAGCATACGACAAAAAAAAACAAAAAAAACAGCTCAGCGGCGCGTGCTTCCCAGGTCGGCGAACAAGGTACAAGCTAAACACACATAAAAAAAGAACCTGAGCGCACCGATGCAAGACATCGCGAGCCAGGATCAAAACGTTAATGGAGCGCTTTGTGCAACGACTGAACTCGAGACAAACAAGCACGCTGTGCGGGTTCAGCATGCAGACATTGCTTTCTTTGCTTAAGCTCACTTCTCTTCACCAACTTTCTTTCGTGGCAGATTGTTCACGTACCGGGGTCCGTCTCAAAAAAAAGCCCACCGAGAGAAGCCTACGTAATTAATGCTTGGACATAGCAGTCTTTGAGTTAAAGAGGGATTTTTGTAGTAACGTATGATTTACACAAGAACAGGAATTTTGAGGAACATGTGGCGGTACTTAGTTTCAATTTAGAAAGCTCCGTATCTGCAGCGACATGGAGACGGCAACACCCGTCGTCGCGCTACCACGGTGACTAGAAGGCGGGGACCAAATATAGTTTTCCCACAACCATTGCTTTCAGGAGCGAGTGCTTCAGCTCACAAAATAACTCCTGCCGCGCAAAAACACGTGCTTTCGTATCACAGCATGACGGCATAGCTGGTACCCGGCACGCTAGCGTCGGAGTGTCCGCACACCCCCGCGTCTATCGTTGAAAATATTTCAAGCAAAGGCGCGAGACAACACCCCAAGACGACGAAAACGCAAAGTGGCGGGAAAACCATGCAAGACTGAACGGACATTTGATGCAGGGTACCAGGCATGAAGCCACGGGAAGGGGGCAGCTCCTTAAAATAGTCCATTTTGCTAAGATCTCCTCTTCCCCTCTCCCTCACACAGCATTTTGTCATGGGCGGCCCCCCCCCCCCCCCCCCCCCCCCGAATCAAAATCCTGGCTACGTGCCTCCAAGGTATACTTTGTGTCGGGCGGCCGCTTGCGCCACATAACACACGCATGCTTAATTACGGAACTCGGTTTAGTTTTGAAAGGCGACCAAAACTGTTTTTTTTTTTTTTTGCGCAGGCTTGGCACATATTACCCATATTTTGGCAAAATGTAGCAGGATGTAGAAGGGTTAGCCACTTGGAGCAGTTTGGCGCAATTGGAGCAGCTATCACATCACTACAACACTACTGCGCAACTTTTGTTGCGGGACAAATTATGATTGGCAATGGCAATGGCACCGAACGCCAAATACAGCTGAAGAAATAATAATTGATACAAGCGTGTTTTATTTATTTTTTATCTAGCATACATTTACACTTGGATATTATTGATTTAATAATTTATTTTGAATAGGAAACACCGCAAAGTTAAACTCCGAATTTCGGAGGATTGGAAATCAAACAAAAATAAACTCCGATAAACTCAAAAATTTCGGAAAAAACACAATCTTCGAAAAACACCCTCCAAATTTCACGAAAAATAAACTCCGAAAACACGGAATCCTAGTTATGTCCTTTGACCAAGCTTGATGATGCTTATTGATCCCGATGGTAAAAGGAATAAATAAGCACGACACTAATTGACACTACCATCTTAACAAACGGCTGTCTGCTGAGAAGAAAGTCCACAAGACGCCCGTAGTATAACTTATCACTGTCATACTCATTTATTACATAACTTGCAAGTACACCAGTATCAATGATTTCAGCATTAATTAAACAGACAGTGCACAACAAAAAGGTAAAGTTGGCAGGTGAAAACACAAAACAGGTCGCACTAGCAAAAACGAGACAATCACGCACACACACAAAAAACAGGCTTTACCTAAAGCAAAAGTGTTCTTTCCCTGCTGTTCCCTACTATGCTTGCTGAAGCAGAAAGCACGAAATAAAAGTCAACCACAGTTTAAAGTCTTTGTACATCTCTCCACATTTTTTTTTTTCTTTTGTAGCTCACCTATTAGACTTTTATAGGGAAGGATATTCCCTAGACAAAAGAGAGGTGGGGAAACGAGTCTGTACCTACAGCTTCGACACTGCGTGACAGGAGCCAACAAACGACGAGACTGCCGCTAATCGACGGATGATGGAATGAAACGAAAGAAACGTTTGCAGCGAAACTTAGAACTGCCCAAAAGTCGATTTGTATGAATCGACAGATGATTGGGAGGGGGGGGGAGGGGCGGAGGGGAGGGGACAGGAGACACATGAAATCTTCCGCGTCTCATGTATCACCCGAAAATTTCGCTATCCCGCCAATGAACGATGCTTGTGCGAGCTAAAATTCAAAATAAAAGTAACCGCGAAAAGAAAAGGAAAGAAGCACACCGGGAGACGAAGACGCTTGCCGACGTTCGACACCACGCAAACGGAAAGCACCACCATGCAATTGGAATATCGGCCTATTTTTGTTTTTCCTTTTGTAATTTTTCTCTAGCTTGTGAAGGACACGGTTCGGCTCCATCTTGGCTTCTCAAAACAAAGTAAAAATAGACATAAATATTCTTACACGAACCCAGAAAAAGGGGGAGGGGGGAGGGAGGGAAACGATGAGGGGGCCAAGAAAGCCGCCGATCGTTATGAAACGACGAGAAAAGATACGCAAGTCCAGGGAACGAAACGAGACGTGGGCAAAGCGGCAAAAAAGCCCCGCTGGAATGGCAAAAGTTGCTTCGTCGTCCAACAGAAGCGAAGTACGAAGCGCACAAAGGCAACACCGACGATGCTGCCTTCGCCGCGACGAAACCAACGGAGCGTCAAACAACTTCTTGGAGAGCCTCCGTAGCCGATCCTAACAAAAACACGCCACCGTCGGGACAGAAACCTCTTCGGATGGCGACTGGCGGCGAGACGACTTTCGCCGGCGGGCGACAGATCTCGGACCGAACGACGGAAATGCGAAAGAGCTTATGTACAAAAGCGTAGTCCTGTTTCGTTGCCCCTCCATCTTCGCAAAACGGTGCGGGCGTTTTTCGACGTCCCATAACAGACCCCAGGACGGTGGATGGTTTGGTTTCGTGGAGAGACCATTCGATCCCCAAACATGCCAGGCACGTCGACAGGCGCTTAGGGGAGTCTACCCCCACCCCCTCCCCCGTTTTTAATTGCCGAAGGAGACTCCCCTCCAATGGCAATCGGTGCAGACGGCGTTTCTGCGATGACGATCTCTTGGATACGGCCTAGAGACGATGACGACGTCTGCCGCCGAGACGGCCCAGAGTGGATCGTTTTCTCGACTGCGATCGGTCGCTTCTCGACATGGCCGTTCGCGGGATCAGATTTTTCTAAGAACGTGCCTTCGAGGACGCTCGTTCGTTGTACGAGCGTCCCGGAGGCTGCCGTCTTCCGTCGTCGAAATATGGAGCCCTGCCCTTTTGCCTCCCCACGTCGGGGGGTTGTGCAGCTTCTGCTCTTGCAACCGACGGAGAGTCCAACTCCATTCGACGACATGTCCCCCCCACCCCCTCTCGACCTCCTCTCACTCCACAAGAGCACCTCTCCGACAACCGTTCTCAACGGGTCAAACTGTTGTGCGGCTCCTACAAGTGAACCTCGAACGCCTTCACCGAGTTTGGCGCCACGAACGGGTTTGTAGCCACGGCGCTCGCGGCCGTGGGGGCGGAGCCGGTGGGACCGCCCCCTTTTTGCAACGGCAGCGACGCCCACTCCGCGTCGAAGGGGTCGCCGTAGTTCGTCGTTGTCGTCGCCGCCGCGGCGACGGCGGCATTGGCGTCTTGTACTGCCGTGGTCTTTTGCTGCCTGGCCCATTCGAAGAGCGCCGTGCGTTGAGGCGAGGGCAGCGACTCGGTGCCGCCCACCGATTGGCTGCGCGGGTGCGGGGCAGCGGCTGGGGTGCGGCGGGGCGGGGCCAGGGGCGGGGGTGCGGGCCCGCCTTCGTGGGGCACGGGGCTGGGCCGCGTGGGCAGGGATGCCAGCCAGGCGTCGGCGCGCGATGCGTCAGCCCAGGGGTTGCCTGAAAGAAGCGAGTGCACCTTCAAGAACGGAAATGAAAAGCGACAGATGTGAACGGAAGCAACAACTGGGTACGGTGAAACCCCAATCGTGCAACTTTCACGGAACACGGACCTTCAATGACTACTTTTAAGCTAATAATCTGCGGCACCATAAAAATAGTGACCATATCACACAATGAATTTATACTAGAGTCGCTGAAAACGACAGGGTGTCTGCTTTGCAGGTCCGGCCTCTGGCAAGCACTCATTGCCTTCAATTCAGTTATTTTTTATTATATTCAAGGTACAAACAGATTTTACTGAGAAAACGATTTGCTAGTTTGGGTTCATGACAATAAGGCGTCTGAGGAGCACAATGAGCAACTCAGGTTAGTAAGAATCTATACAGAAATACTACAAACAAGAATATACCAAACACTTGCATAATCATAGGAGCAATAGAAATTTTATTCAACTGAGAGGATGGCTAGGCTATGAGGGTGAAGGTGATTCAAGAAAGGAGAAGGTAGTGTTTTAAAGCTTAACTAAAATTTCCAAATATTTTTGTGCAGCAAAATTGGGTTATGGTCTTTCCCAGTATACATTATAACATGTTGGAAGATTAAACTGCCCAGATGAATGGCGTGTAGCTAGACGGGCACTTTTAATAAGTGTTGTTACTGGAAGGGGGTCGTTATCGGTTAAAAGTCTTTGGAACATCGTAGCAATGTTGCGTTTTATCTTTTTCCCGGAATGTAAAGCGCCGTTCACACATCTGCGACCGAGTAAGACCGAGAGAGACCAGACCGGTTTTTAAGCCTTTTGCGACATCTTAGAACCGGATGCACTGCAGCAGAGCTGGTCCTAAGAGATCGCTAAAGGCTTAAAAACCGGTCTGGTTGCAAGAGTGTGAACGGGCCCTTAAAGGGGCCCTGCAATCATATTTAAGCGTCTACCTTTTTTGTGGTTTCCATGTCTCTTGGGGTTCGGGCAAGCCAGCGGGCACGGAGAGAGTAACTAAATATCAGTGCGTCCTATTTTAACCGGACGACGCGGATACATCCTCCACCGATAACGGGCGACCCGCGGTACCGAAAGCGCGCAAAATGTGATGTCTTTGGTCCTGGGCTTACTACTGGTCAGAGCCGCTAAAAGCTTATTTTTAGTCGAAATAAAAAATATAAGTGGTGCGAACTGTTTCAATTATTTATAAAAGTAGTTTTTGTTCAGTATTTTAGATCAGAAAAGAAACGAATGCAGTTTATAAAGTACGGAAACAAGAAATGACCCGTCGACATACCTTCCACCAAGCGGTGGAAAAGGCGGCGCATACAGCATAGACCACTTACAATGTAACCGCTTATAGTGCAGGACCGGGTATAAAGCGGCTTTTTTAAACCACCGGTTCGCCTCCCATAGAACTCCATGTAATTACATACCGCTTAAAATGCAGGCGCACGAAGGGAAATACCGGTTATAGTGCGGTTTCTGGAACAGCGCGCCGATTGACCGGCGCTGCCAGCATGCTTCCCTGTGCGACACTAGATAACGGCGCTAGCCTGGCTAGCCGCAAGCGGCACTCGCGAGGCAAGGAGGTTGCTCGAAGCACTCGAAGTTGTGGCTTTAAGAAGCGGAGAGAAGCGAAGAGAGAGGCTTCAGTTGCCATAGCAACGGAGGGATGCACGCACGTGTCGTTCACGTGCGTGCGTCCCTCCGCTGCGTTGGCGTTGGAAACAACCGCAACGACAGACAAATCGCAAGTCGAGGAGAAGTGTTCGCGCGCGTTGCATGCCGGTCGCGGGTCGGCTTCGATCCGCAAACATGGCGTCGGTTGCGATCGTTCCGCGTAAAAGCACTATCCTTGACTGTGAATTTTCGTTGTGTGCTGCTATGATAACCCAGCACGTACTAGAAGGGAAGATCCACCTACTCGTGCGGCGATGTCGTGGCGGCACTCTCAAGACGGCAGAAAGGGCCGTGTAGGCGTGTTTGTTTACTTCGACTACGGTGGGGCTTTCTAAGCATTTGTGTTTTCGAACATCGCCCGGATTTCTTATTTGGAGCATTTCATGCATGTGCTCAAGTTGAAGGTATTACTGGCGCGTACCGTATAAAGGATGCGAATTTTCACGTGTCTTCATCACCGGAGAAAAGTGATTAGGGTTAGCAATCCTGATTGCTCGCAACGTCCGTCCGCAACCCGCGACGCCGTTAAAAGGCTGCGCCAGGCAAAAGTCGCTCATTTCTTTCAAAATTGACACACTTAAAAGAGAAGTGTACTAGTCTGGTGCAATAAAGACTCCTCTTCGTCTAACATAAAATAAATTCTTTTACAAAGGTAAGTTGTCTCATGGCATGTGTTTTGGCCTGAAAAATTTATGTTTTGGTTATAACGCGGTACCGCTTATAGTGCGGATTTTCGCGACTCCCGCGACATACGTTATATGCGGTCTACACTGTGCTAGAAAAAAGTAGTGGGATCAGGCGCCGACACTGTAAGGTCCCGGATGTACGCGGCAGCGCTGCGGTCGTATGGACAGGAGGATCCGACCAGCTCCGAGCGTTCTGAAGGCCTTCAGCGAGGAGCTTTGTCTTGCGGTTTGGCCGTTTCGCGGTATGGCGGCGCAAGGTGGCTCCCATTCTGAACTGATCTTTACCCCGTATTTGCTGTTGTTTGTGGCCAATGAAGTGTCATGCCGAATTAGTATTTAATCGTGCAGCGAATGCAGTGAGAGCCGCTCTGGCTGCCCGCTGCATACAGCCTATCCAGAAAATGCTTTAGTGGCGCCCTCTCGCGCCGTCGACACAAAGTGCGGCAGCCGCGAGCGCTTGATAAGCTCACCACCCCTCCTCTAGTTCACGGCCACTCTCAAGCAACCAAGGAAAGTTATTTTTTGCTTGTTTTTGTAATTTTAATTTGCCTATAACTTTTAAAATAAAGGAAATTTCGAGAAAAGGAAAGTTGCACTAAATTACTACGTTCAGTGCGCTCAGGTTCGGTGCAAATTAAAAACTAGTAAAAAAGTCCTTGCAGGGCCCCTTTAAGAATGCGAAGTTGGTCGAATACAATGCACAAGTCTGTAATATGAGTGGGTTATTATTCTAACCACCCTTTCCTGTAAATTGATCATTAGTACGAGGTAACTATGGTAAGTCATACCCCAAGCTTCTGTACAACGTGTGAGGAGACTTCTAAATATTGAAAAGTAAATTATTTTTAGGGTGCGGATGTCGAAACACTGCCGAGCATTTAGCAATATGTAACATGTGTACATTCATTTTTGACAGGTGTAAGTTATGTGCTGTTGCCAGTTTAGGTGGCTGTTCAATATTACTCCCAGATATTTGAATGTATTTACTTGCTTAATAACACAATTATTAATATAAATTTCAGAGTTGTCATACTTGATAAGTTTTTTTTTATTATTATTAGAGTCAAATATCACATACTTTGTCCTTTTTATGCTTGAGTGTAAATTTGTTAGAATCGCACCGTTCCTGAACGCAGGTCAGATCTTCATTAATTACATTTTTTATGTAATCGAATGACTGGTAAGAATACGAAAGAACTGAGTCATCAGCACGCATTCATATTTGTGAGCAGTTAATTAGTTTATCTAGAAAGGTCATTGACATATAATGAGAAAAGTATGGGTCCCAGTACTGATCTATTGTGGGACCCCAGTTGCAATTGGTGTAATAGTGGATTTAAGCATAGAGACAAACTGGGAACGAGCTGTTAAAAGGCTTTTAAGAAAGCAAAGCGACACACCTCTGGAACTTGCACCGTGCTTTGACTGTTATCAATAGTAGGAAGCTGACGCTGGAAACGGGACAACTGAAGCGCCTCCCTGCCATTCTCATCCTTTCGATAGTTTTCTCCCAATGCGGCTTGTAGTTTCTCTTTTTCTGCATTTTGACGGCTTACGGCACATGTAAAATACGTGCCCCGTCCTGAGGGGAAGTTGGAAAGTGAGAGCGACGCTCACCGACGCGCACTCATCAATGTTTTGAGCCGGTGAGGTTAAACATAGCTGCGAGTTCTAACGTCAGGTGATCCTATGTCTACCGTCCTCCACAGCTAGCCGTCTTCCTAGAAAAACCAAACGGCAAACGGAATCAAACTGCATGATTAACGTTGCACTACCCTATGCGAGGATGCCACATTTGGCAAGCGCCACTGCTACGTTGTGGATCTTTTTTCTGGTAGATCTCCACCTTGCAAGGAAGCACGAAACCACGTAACAATCAAAACTGCAGTTCCCCGGTCACATACGTGATAACACAATGCGTTCCGCAAGTCTTCCGAAGCAGCAAATCCGAGTTTTTGATGGCGCACGGAAACCATCTATCTGCAGGGGTGGTCCAGCCAGTTTTGAGCTTGGAGCAAATTTTGGAGCAGAAAAAAAATCTCGTTTTGAGGCACCTTTGTATCAGAGAAAATTCACATCTTGGAACAGCACAAAAATTCGGCGCAGTTCCCTATTAGTGACACAGTTATATTGTACAAGCCGAACTGCCTTTCGACGGCTGTGAAGCTGTGCCATGAAATTTGTAAAATTTGTGTTTTGTTTCCATTAGTGGACAAAGGTTAGCTACTAAAATTGAGAAGTTGATGTAAGATACAAATTTAATCCTCTGGATAATAAAGAGGTCAATTGGCAATATACAAAGTTTTCTCAGCGACACAAAAACCAGCATTTTCTGGACCTCATAACTCCTAGACAACAGGCTTTATGAGAAACATTTTATTTACGACGGCGCTTCCCGACGGCTTCTCACCGCATAAACATCATCCAACGTTCGATTTGCTGTGCTTTACTTCCGCCGTGGTCGCAATCTAGCCGCCCAAAGATCCAATTTAGCACACAAAGTTTAACCAATAGAAATATTCTGGGTTTCATAATGCAGAGATGTCAATGAGTAGGTCGATCAAGGGTTCACATTATTTTACACGAAAATAAAAAAAAAGGCAACTATCCATAAAAAAACAGTACCGACAGCCCACGCTAACAAAATGAAAACCATGCACAAGCACAATTCTAAACACTAAGATGAAAAAAAAGAAAAAGAAAACCTGCTTTTGTTAATTTTTACCAGTAAACTTCGAAATGCCACTAAAACTAACTAAACTGCGTCAAGTCAGGGCCGTCGAAAAAATCAGTGCTGCGGGGCCAGAAACCTGGGTTGGATTGGGATGTACAAACCCCGCTGGATTCTGACAGTTGCTGGACGAAAACGAAAACTCTTCCAAAGAACCAGTCTGTCCGCCGATAAATTAACTGGCGCAGTTTGGCGTGATTTTTCTCCTTGGGCGCAGCAAGGCGCACGTAAGCGGGAATTTACCGCAACGGCTCAAGCTGCACAGCTGGACCTCCCCTGCATCTATCGTATGCGACCGATGGCCTAGACCAGGGGTTCTCAAACTTTTTGGTCTCACGGAACCCCAGGAAGCCTCAAAAACTGCCACAGAACACTGCTCCTCTCCCCCCCCCCCCCCTCCTCTATATTTGCCGACCGAGAAGCAACAGATGCACAAGTTTAGGCAATTTCGCTTGTGTTGCTTCCCATATATCCCCACCATATCAATCGCGATGTCAGTACAAAGTAAGATGAAAACGCTTTACATGGTCCTGCCGCGCAGCCTCCGGCGGGGGAGGGGGAGGGGGGGATTGGGAGGAGGGGGGGGGGTGGCAATTTGGGTGTTCGCGGACCCCATGAGACTAGCTCGTGGAACCCCTGTGTTCCCTGGAACCCAGTTTGAGAACCCCTGGCCTAGACACTGCAAGGAATGGGTTAAAGGCCAACGACCAGACCCGAGATTCTGCAAGGCAGAAGACCCTCCTCGCCATGGGGGAGGAGGAACAGCAGCGCACATGGTCGACCCTCACCACCCTCACTAAAGGGAGCAAAGGAAGGAAGGGGTGTCACCTCGTGGGGCCTTGTCGGACGCCAGCTTGGGCTGGCTGGGCTCCTGGTGGAAGGGGTCGTCCGAGGTGCTCGTCAGCATGCTCAGCTCCTGGCTCAGCTGCTGGCACATGGCGCTGATGCTGCTGGGCTTCTCGCTCACGGGAGAGGACTCGGGGATCGGGGGCACTGCATGGCAGAAGGCAGCCGTCGGGCCTGTTCTCAGACTCGCACAACAAGTTCACAAGTTTTCCTTGAAAGCTCCCCGTTTCCTCTACGTCAGTTTTTTTCCTCTCTATTGCCAAGAAAAAAAAGCCCCAATTCCCTAAAGCTCGCCCCCAGACGGGGCAACTTTGTCAGCAATCTTGGGGTTCCTGACGGGATTTTCCCTAGCTTTCCCTAGATTGACACGAATTGTTGAGACCAAGCCCGGCTCGAAACAAGCGAGCCACTCGGAGCAACTCGAACATGTTTGAAGCAGCAGCGGCCAATCAGGGAAGCAATATTTTCATGTGAAACCCCGTGCCGGTGATGATGACAACTAAAGACTTGGTTCTGGTTTGAAATTAATCTTTTTTGGAAATAAACCGTTTCAGAAAGATGAGTTAGTATATTCTCAACGCCATTTAAAGATATAGAAACCTGTTTGTAGCGCGTAACTGTGTGTCAAACTAGTGCAAGAAAAGAACTCAGCAGAGACACCTAAGACTGCTTACGTTTGAAAATGCGAAAGCAATACGCACACACTAGACAGATTTAGTGAGCCGGAACCGTAGAGTCACCGTGACATCCGGGAAGAGTGCTCGTCTCGCACCCTAGAGGCCCGGGTTCCATTCCTATCCAGTCCGAAATATATGAAATCTTCTTTTCAAAGCCATTCATTTATTTTATTTACAGGAACCTCCCCGAGAAATTTTTCATGTGTTTACACTCTGCGCTGCACCGCCAGCAGTTCGGCTGGCTCTTTGGCAACCATGACGCCATTGTTATGGGGCCACATGACACGTCGCAGTCAATGGAAATTTAGGTGCCGTTTGCCAGCTTCGCTCCATGAAACAGTTGAAGGAGCTGTGCAATGATTTTAATGTTGAAAGAATTTGCATCTTCTACTTTTGACATTGTTTATCTTGTAACAAAGGACAGAAAACATCTTCCTTCAAAATGTTGCGATTCCGCTGTGTAATCGCGAGGCAAAAATTAGAATATTTCCCGACCTGCAGCTGCGAGCGGCGGCAATGAGAACCACACAACACGACGTCAATGGGGGACTTGACTTGTAAAAAGATGGGACGTCGTGCAAATACCTGCTCGATAAAAGCTAACTTTTCTATAAATCTTGTCGTTCCAACATAAATATAAATGTGTCAAAAACCTGATATCATCGACAAAACTTTTATTATACGCAGTTTTAGTGGCGCCATCTATCCGAGGTCAACGAAACCATCAGGTCTATCTGCTACTGCGAACAGCCACCACAAGCAGGAGGTGACGGAGGCAGAGCCGGACAGGGATGGCCGGACCAGGACGAGACTTTGCTCCTTTTGACATGCAGATCGTGCTGCGCAAGCACGTGCGCACGTGGTCGCGAGCGGGTGAGTTCTCGCTGCTCACTGATGGCTCTAGAGAGAGAGCTTCACCGGAACCCTGCGCGTTTCCCTTTCTTGTCACGGCGCACGCGACTCGAAAGATGGTGAAGGAGTTGAGAGGTGCTGAAAACCTAAATCTTTGTCATTTTTTAAAACAGAAACGAGGACATGCAGGCAAAAGCGGTTTTTGTGTTCTGTACTTCAGAAAAGTCGAGACACCAACTCCCAAATTATTTAATCAAAACACTGAAATTGTTACTCAGCTCCTTTAATGCTTTCACATTAATAAAATTAAATGATGACGATGGCAAATTGAACAGGGTGTCAAGCAAAATATTATTTTGAAATTCCTTGACGTTTCCAGTTTTTCCCTGACAACTTCAGCTGAAATTTCGTGACCACTGTAGAGGCGGTTAAATATATAAGACCATTACAACACAAGGGTTTGAGCATTGAACACTGTGAGCATCATTTTGCACGGGCTTAATCCAACTTGCATATTCCAAAATATCCGGGTTCGTCCAGTCCGGATTAAACGAGCACTTTCTTGTCACCGACAATTTCAGTGAATAGGCCACTTCCAAGTCAAATTTAGGGGTTTCACGTGCCAAACCTACGACGGGCATCTGGCACGCCCCGGCGGAGGACTGAGGATTAATTTGGATCACCTGGGGATATTTTGACGTGCAACTGAAAGCTCGGTTTCACGGCGCCTTCTCTGCAATAAGCCTCCGTCATATTGCGGGCACCTCGGTTGGGATTCGAACCCGCCACCTGGGGAGGCAACTTCCGGAAACACAATGAAAACACGACGTTTAACCACACACGTCAATAACCGAATGGCAGCATCGTACATGGCCACCAGATGCACACTTTCAGGTACTTTCGGCTTCATGCTTGGATTGGATTGAGGTCTGCGGCTTTCCCATTTGTTAATATATCTTGTAGCTCTAACTGAATCGAGCCTAGTGTGATGCCCTCAATCCAATCCAATCCAAAGCTTGGACTTGATTTGTCGGCTGTTCCCTTTGCATTGGGTAGCACAGTCTACCTCAGATGAGCAGAGCCCACGCTCCCCTCTAAAAATAATTTCTTGCCTACTTTTCTGCCCCCAAGTCCTCAAGTCTTCGTGGAGGGCACTCGATGGCGTTTCCGGCTTGTTTTTTTCTGACTGGGCTTGCTTTTTGAGAATATCCCTGACAATTCCCTGATTTTTCCCTGTAATTAAAATTTCCCCGATATTTCCCGGTTTCCCCAGTCATGTGTGTGAATGTGGGCAGCCCACATTGCTGGTGTTGCGACATCAAGTTGCTGGGAGAAATTGCCTTGTCTGGAGCGGGCCTTACACACATCAAGATGTTTCACAGAATTTTCCCTACCTCCCCCAGAAATCCCCAGACAACCACAATGAATTCTGCAGTCCTCCCCCTCTCACCCAACAAGTTCACGAGCTTCCCTAGAAACCTCTGTTATTTCCTCCCAGACATATCCTTTCCTCTACGGCATGGGTTCCCCAGAGTACCCTCAAGGCAGGGATGGGAAAAATACTTTAAAAAATGTGTCAACATACAAATACAAAATAATTTGACAACAATGTATTTGACAAATCCAATTAGTTTTTAGAAAAGTATAAAAATGCAATATACAAATACAAGTGTGCTTGATAATCTTTAATACTTCCAAAAATACATTTTGTTCCCATTGTTCAACATCTTAAACGTAAACCCAAGTTAAAAAAAAAAAAAAAAGTCTGCTCATATGAAGAATGGAGTCCATATATACCAAGAACCAAATGCTCAAAAGAAAGAGCTCTAGAAATTAAATTTGCTTGTCAAGATAGGCAGGTAAAACACTAAGAAACACAATGTATTCACTACGAGTTGTGGGATTTCCCTTGCTGCTACCCGTCTCGGAGAATGACACAGCACACCGGTTCAACAACACGTAAACATTTAATGACCGCTATCGCCTGCGCCGCGATCCCAACCGCCCCAGCGCATCCGCTGCGACGGCCTTTTATCAGCGGCGGAGCGCCGCTCGCGTGGCCAGTTGCCCTTGGCCCCCTCGTGGTCAAGATGACCACTTATGATTGTCGGAGGGGCAGCCTGGGCCAACCGCTTGGAATCGCCAGGTTGCCCACACAGTTTAACCTTAAAGGCTCACTGAAGCAATAGATTCTTTTCAAACAACATGCGTTAATGTGATGTCAAACATACAAAATCGGTTAACCAACAGGTCAATCATTGCAACCACTCCTCCATGTTTATTATAAGTAAAAAGCGGCAAGCTGAGTGCTCTTTGCGTGTGACCCCCATCATGAACAGGGCGTAATATTGGATTCGATTGCAAAGAACAGAGCCCAAAATTGCATTTGGCCAGTATTTGAAATACTCAATATTTGAGCATTTCAATACAGCCATAAGTGCATTACCCATACAGTAATTAAATACGAAATACAAAATACTCTAAGTGTTTTAAATATGTATTTTAAATACTTGTATATAGCAATACTACTGCCCATCCCTGTTTCAAAAGTTCCTCAGGCTCCCTCAGCCAACCCTGCTCCTAAGTAAAGTGCTTTCCCGGTTTGGGCACTATTTTAGCAGGTCTAAACAAACCCATCGATGCATAAATATGAGCCACAAACTCCATAGAATGTATGTTATTGTTTACAAGGTCTGTAGGCCTCTGAACTGCTTTACTGTATTAATGCCGAGACCAGGAGGAACTCCTCGGTTATCAGTCAAAGTACCGTAAAATACCGGACAAGCGCCCACTCAAAATTTAGAGATAATCACGAAAAAATGGGGGATGGGTGCTTGTCCAGTCATCAGTTTTACATATCGATCACCTGTGCATGTTTTCTTAGATATTAGAAATTTGGGAATGGGCGCTTAATGTGGAATGGGCGGATGTGCGGTATTCTACGGTAGGTCAGAGTTCCTCAAGATCAAAAAGTTTGCAAACGCCTGCTCTACAAAGAACTCAAACAAAACTAACCTTAACAATAAAAAAAAAGTCTAAATTCTTTCAATACAATTGTTTTCCATAGAATTTCCCTACTTCAAGGCCATTTCCCCCAAGACAAACATAAGGAATCCTGCAATGCTCCCCGTCTCACCCAATCAGTTCATGAGTTTTCCTAAAACCTCACAAGTTCCCCAATGACATTATTTCCTCATAGTTCCCTAGAATTATCCCTATATCCACTACAATTTCATAGGTTTCCCTAAAGAAGCCGTCCCCTCGCTGCTTGGGAAGTTTTAAAGTTCATTAAATTTATGAGTTTCTTGGACAGTGAAAGATCCTTGAAAGTCCCTAAGAATCAAAGCTTTCTTAGAATTCTTCATGTTATCTGAAACTCCTCAAGTTTCCCTGAAAGATTGAACAAAGTCCTTTCCTAACCAGAAAAAGATTTTGTGATCCCTATGTCAACAATTGCTCATGTTTCCCTACAAAGCTGTTTTCACTTTTATCTTTGGGAATTCTAGGGTTCTTCGAATTTTTGGGTCTCTTGGATATTGAGATTCTTGAAGGTCACTGAAACGTGAAAGCTTTTGCTAAAAGTCTCCCTGCTGTGTCCAAAAGTCTTTCTAAAAGAAAAAAAAAGAAAGGCATTCCCCTAACCAATGAAAAAGCCATTGTGATCCCTACTTCCTTAACAATTTCCCATTTTTCGTGAAAAAGATCTCCTTACTGCTTCAGCGAGTTCTAAGGAATTCATTAAACTTCAAAATCTCTTAGACATTGATAGATCCTTGAAAGTCCCCCAAACATCAGTCCTCTCTAGAATTTACCCTACTCTCCCCAAGTTTTTCTAGAAAACCAGAGAAGCCCGTCGGATCTCTACCTCCCCAATAATTCCCCACGTTTCTCTAAACAAAACTTCCCTTTATTGTTCCAGGAAGTTTCAAGGATCATTCAATTTTTGAGTCCCCCGGAAATGAAAAGATCACTGAACGCTTTTAAAACATCCCTCCCATGTCCAAAGTTCCTCCAAGTTTGCCTGAAAGATAAGAAAAGGCCTTTGCCGAATCAGGGAAGCGATAGAGCAACAATAAGTACTGTCATGCTTGTATTTGCACCTGCCCAACGATTCTTCGTGCGTCCTTCCCTCAGCGTTCCAGGGAGTTCCAAGGACCTCGACAGCAGAAGACCCTTGCAAGTCCCCCAAACACCGCGAAGTTTCCCTAAAAAGTAGGCCCTCACCAGAGAAGCCGTTGTGGCGGGAGGGCAGGTCTCCCGAGGCGTCGAGGGACATGGCTCGCTGTCGCTCGATGTTGGAGGGCAGCTCGTTGAGCCGCAGGGACAGCTGTCTCTTGAAGGGCGACGTCTGGCTCAGGCTGCCAAAGCCCCGAAAGGAACCCTGCCTCTGCAGCATCGAGACCGTCGCGTGCGGCCGCTCTATCGCGTACGGGTTCACCACGGACTTCACCGGGGGGGCCTCTGCACGACACGAGACAACACGCACGTGAGCATCACGGCGACTGGCTTCCACGGGCAACCGGACCTCGACGGTTCAGTGCCCTGAATCGTCACCAGGACCGGTTTGCTGGACGCTGCAACCATCTCACCCGCAGAAGGCATTTTTAGGTCACGTGACTGGCTCTGAGGGAACGAGAAACTAAGAGTACCTAGTGTTTGAGCTTAATGGTTGTCGGAACCCCCTCTTCACTTCGCACAGTACAAGGGGGAAGAGGCTTGAAATCAAGTGAAATCATCCGCATTCGTATTACTGAGGAGGGTTGTGTTAAACAAGAATTAAAGAAAGTGACACACAAGGCTTTTATGTCTGCTAAGAAGAATCAGCTGGAACGCTAGGTAACCTAAATGTTCCCTTTGGGGCTATTTCACCTGCCAGTTCAGATGCCCGCAGAGATCAGCAGGCTTGTTTGGAGGTATGATTTTGATCCCTGGTAAATGTGAGAGTTCTCTCGGCTGCCGACTGGATGTGCCGTTGCGGTTTTCTTCTGTGTGGATGTAATCGACTAGCGTAATATCCTGAACGTACGCCCACCCTCAAATTTTGGACCACTCCCCTTTTATGTCAAAACGTCTATGTTAAAGAAAATCCCGATAGCTCGCAAGTCCTCCAAAAATTACAATTCCGAAGAACCGAGGATATCTGGGCGGACCTTGTTTTAGATCTCTCTGAAACAGGCATGCATGCACGAAACACGACAGTTGCACAACAGCTTGCTAGCCTGCTTCTTGAGATTGACAGGGCGGCCCTATACCGGAACATTGCCAATCCAATCAATGGATTTCCCGCTTCCTCAGCATCGTTCTTACCCCGCTCGCTCGCTTGCACCTGGTTGCTTTTTCTATTTTCTTGTTGACTTTTTTTTTTGCTTCATCCTTTTTTTTTAATTTACAGATCAGCAAAGCCTAGGGAGCCTAACGAAGGGAACATAGCAGTTTTAGAAATGTGCTTTCACGGAACAAGCGTTCATGATGTAGGCCGATCAGCGGTGTTCATTGGGTGTATGCAAGCAACGGACTTAGCAAAAGTAAAACATTCTTTCAAAAAGGCGGCGGGTGGGCGAATCTGCAAGATTCGCCCACCCACTGCCTTTTTTTCTTCATTATCTCTCGTTAAAGGTGGGCGATCGTTCAGGATATTACGGTAATGATAAATTTCAATCTCTTCACAAACTACAATAGGGCAGTATTTTGGTGGGGGCCTTTCACCCCCACAGGTGATGAAAATTCTCATGGCCGCTGATCTACACGCCTTTCTTTAACCACAGGCGACTCCCAGGCTGGTTTTCTCATCTCGCGGCTGCGGCCAAGTGGGATTTTAAACGTGGTCAGCTGCATGGGGACATGCGAGCACCTAGCGTCCGTGCCTAAAGGCAGAGAAGCCCGCGTCGCTTCGAGCACAAAAGTTTGACTTTGCTTGCGGAAACTGACCACAGAGGCTTGCAATCCGAGTCCAAGTAACCGCAGCCTTATATTTTAAAAGGAGCAGGTGAAGTTGCGGCCGGGAAAGGTCAACATCAGCCAAACTGAAAAAGGAATCACGCGAGACAAAAGCAGTGGCGTTACATTTATATATCCGTGCCAGCGACGCAGCGTCCAGACTCTGCTATGGTCAAGTGGTAACAAGGCCAGGACTTGTCACAGCGGCGTGAAAGTTCCAGGTTCGAATTGAGCCACAGCTAAACTTTTCTCCTTTTTTTTATATAAAATGATTTTTTGCATGTGTGCCCTACTTTTTAACCGTGATCCCTTTTAGAAATTATCCCTTTGTGCGACTGCACCGTGCATTGTTTTAAGGTGAAAGCCTTATACGTATCATCATTCAGTCCTTGAGCGAAAACACTTCGGCAGTTTGCCACTGGACCACGAGATGGTGTTACTTGTGCCAGAATCAACAGAGGCGCACGCGCGGCGCAGACTCAGCGGGAGAGCAGGACACACTCGCCCGAGCAGCAGTGAAGAACAAGGATGGGACATGCCGCGAGATTAACGGCGCCAAAAGTGCGTCGTCAGAAAGCGTGCTGTCTTCGGAGGTTCGCTATCACCGGGATCGGCGCTTGTGCTTTCATTTTCAAGTTGTCGTAGGGATAACATCCTTATGACGACTTGCTCACTGCAAATTTTTGTTTGTCCCACCTGTTAAATCCACACACAAAAGAGAAAAAAAAAAAAAGGAAGAGATCAAGCTAAATCAAAGCGCAAATACAAATGTTTCATAATATTCATTAAAAGGAAGCCAAGACAACAGCATTGGTACGACTTGCGTACTAAAGGGGCCGAAACAAGCATCCTTTGCCCAGCAACTACGATTTCATCTGTTTTAAAGATAAAAAGGGCTTGCTGTGACCCTTTTCAATAAGAGGAAGCGCCTATTTAGTACAAAGACACACTGTAGTTGTGTCAATTAAAACATTAAAAACTTCCACAAAGAAAAAAGAAAAAGTTAATTTGTGGCACAATTTGAACCCCGAAATTTCACGCCGCAACGGCTGCGCACACGGCGAGCAGCATTGCTGGCGCAGGTACACAAATAGAGCACGACTGCTTTTGCCTCGCGTGGTTTCTCATTTCTTTCGGCTCCCATTTACCTGCCGCTCTTGAAGTGTAAGGCTGCGGTTAATAGGACTGGAACTGTAACCCTCTGTGGTCAGTTTATGCGAGTAAAATCAAACTTTTGTGCTTTAAAGGGCAACTCCGCTTCATTTTTGATATTTAGAAAACTATGTAGCCCTCTTCAGTATCATATAAGAAGACCCCATGTCAATTATTACAACCTATACTCCGTTTCAAACATCGCGTGCAACGCTGGGAAAGCTACTGAAGTAGTGCGCATGAAAAAACACAAAAAAATGTGTTACTCCGCGAGATTTCGTGGACGAGCGGTACAAGGCACTGCTCTGGTGATGCCGACGTCTCGGTGGCGGTGGTTCGAATCCACTTAGGGCGCAAAGGTTTTTTTATTTTATTTTTTTTCCTCGACCTATTTTTTGTGCAAGATTGTGCGTATTGCGGAAGTGCATATTTCAATTCCTCTTTTTTTGTCGATTTTTATTGATAAGAAGGTAGACTAGGGGCAGGTGTTCCGCTTGAACTTGCGCCGGCCTCGTCAAACCGGAAGAATGGTCGAGATCCAGGGCGTCTCTATTTAAAGCCGTTTATTTACATGGTAGCGTGAAAATCAGAGAGTACCTTGAGAGTGTGGTGGACGGTCCTTTATATCACGAATACTGTGATTAGGGGACCGCACTGCCATTGGTCAGACGGCTTGGCATTCCCTCACGTGATGCAACTCCATGGAAGTTTCCTTCAGAATCGGAATACTCGCCGGTGTATGGAAGAAGTCATCCAGACGGCAGTATCTCGGTGCTCTGGTGCCGGCGCCCCCATGAACCGGGGGTGATTCACAATAGACGCGTACACAACACACGGCACTCGAGATCAGGATCGAATGTTGTTTCCTTTTCGAGGAAAGCAGGGGCCTCGGAATACAGGCACGGGCATGTGCGTCGTTTACTTAGCCAACCAAGGTTAAGGTGCCTCAGGCAGACGGAGCCGACCAAGGTTACGGCCCGCAGGCAGAAGAACCCAGACGCTTCGGAATGCAATCACGGGCACCGCCTGCTGTAAGGTCCCGCAAGCAGACGGAGCCGTAGGCACAATTCATCACCGACACAGTTCCTTCTTGAGGCTTGTTTCACTTTGAAGCCATAAGGCCGATTTCAACACCAGAAATAACAGGTGGCAGTTCACAACACTGTCCGCGTGCTCGGAACTTTCACGTTGCGAGGTCTTCCCTTCGGGGACGCCACCTTGCCAGACACTCCGGTGTCGTTACTGACCGTCTCCAGGACCTCACGGACCGACGTCTCCGGGAAACACGTTCTTGAACTCGCGTACACGTTGGCAATCACCTGCTTGCACTTTTGCGAGATCTTCACACAACGAATCTTCGAAAATATCCGAGCAGGAAAAGAAAGCATTTCCGCGTAAGACGCCATCTTCTCGAGACCGGCGAGGCAGGGGCAGCCGCACAACCCGAAAACCCGAAGCGAGTGCGAGTGCCGCACGTACGAAAACGGAAAATAATTTGGAGTAGTTTACATTATCTTTTCCTTTTTATTGGAAAAGAATGGTGTTCCCTCGAAATCATAACGCCACTATTAGTTACTAGCGACAAAGACGTACACTTTTCGACTTTTTTTTTTTTTTTTTTCAGGGGCCGCACTATTCTGTGGAGCGAACGTAGTCGCGGTCGGCTGTGCAAACCGGCGCGCTAGCTTTGACTACGTTGCACGCTATGTTTGAAACGGAGTATAATTCCGTTTATATATTTAATAAACTGGCCAGCAAACCTTCAAGCGAGCCAAGTCGCCGAAATCTGCCAACTCTAGCGTGCGGCGCGAGGCGCAATCATCAGCGCAGTCAATGCCACGCAGTCGGAGCAGCCGACATTGAGCCACTACGTCAGAGGCATGACTACGTCATTCTCACGTTTTGTTCGTTTTTACTTCTCATAGCGAAATTGAACGATGACGTCATGAGCTTCTCCTCCCGGTGTTGGCTGACCGGGCGTTCACGTGATCACCGTAATGCAGATGCGCTCCCCTTCTCCTCTTTCGTCTTCTCCCCTTCCCCCTCTTTCCCGGGCCATCGCCGTCCACGCCATGCGAAGCGACCTGCCCGCGCGTCGCGTGTCCTGTTTATCGCTCCCTCCCGAACGTCACAAGACCACGTGGTTCGACGTAACGTGGCCATGACTCAGACGACCCGAGACCAATGTTGCCTGACGCAACCGAAGTTTCGGTTTCGGTATCAGCTGATGTTTAAATTAGGATTACACAAATAATATTCCACATTTCGCGAATCCGAAGACGTAGAGTTGTTTAGTAGCGCTTTGTGAATTTGAATCACATGTTAGCCTAAATTTTTCGGAATTGAGCGGAGTTGCCCTTTAAGTGACACAAATTTCTCTGCCATTAGGCAGGGATGCTAGGTACTTCCCATGTCCCCATGGAGCTGGTCACTTGACGTAAAAATCCCTGTTGGCCGCAACCGTGGCCGCAGCCGCGAGAGGAGCAAACTGGCCTAGGTGTCAGTAAGGTGAACAAACGAGTATGTACAAGGTGCTTTCTTTTTTTTTTTTATGCTTTACAGATTTGTTTTTGAAAAAGCCGTTAAAGCTATACTAATGTGGTCTGAGCAGGAGAGTTATACGGACCAGGGGGATTCAATGCAGGGGTCTAATCGTCACAGTAAGTCAAACAATGAACTAAAATCTTGCAATTAACTTTTGAATTATTGAAAATAAACATACGGTTTCAATTAAAAACTTTCTGAGTGTCACCGAAAATTACTAATCAGTAACTTTTCGAAAAGACTTTTGAGCACAAGGGAAGCGCAGTAGTGTGCTAAAAACACTCGTGTAACAGGCTCAAGGCTAGGGCTGAGAAAACGTGAATTATAAGAGACTAAAAACTGCTAGGGCATGTTATTGCATCAGTAGCCTTTCACCTGCTGTACGAGTGGTAACCTTAGCAGTCCACCGTGTTTTTATATTGCTCTAAGACATTCCAATATTGCTTGATTTAGTGGTTTTCGACAACGTTCACCAAGTTCCTAATTGGAACCAACTAAAAGCGTAAAAGCTGGAAAAAAAAAAGGACAAAAGATTGCGAGCGGCGCTGTCGTCGCGGCGTCCCAACCGTGGGTCGCCGAAGCTTCTGCGAACCGTCGAGCCGGAGCGCAACCTGCAGCAGAGCGGGCGTCTGCCACATCGCCAGGGTCGCAGCCATCGTCGACGCAACACTCCTACGACTTCGTCGGGCAGAAATTGAGAGCCACACTTCGGGACGCGGTAAGCGCGCCAGTCAGGGACACAATTCAGGCACCGTAGTGCAACGAAGATGAATGGCGGCCACCCCCGTCGCTCGGCGAGCGCCGGAAAGGACTTCCGGGGCGACTCACCGGATGGCTTGGCCTCCTGTGGGTCCTGGGGCAGACTGTCGGTGATGGAGCCCTGCCGGAAGGAGCCTGTCCGGGTGAAGCTCGAGGTCTTGGGGTCAAAGTTCATCAGCACGCTCTCCTTGTCACGCTTCTGCTTGCGCTCCAGGCACACCGCAAACGCACAGCCCACCGCGTGGCTGAGCCGCTCGCCCTGCGGGCATGGCATTGGACGGCGCCACTCAGGGGGTACGCCCACGGGCACTCCCTAAAGCCCCTAGGAGGGCTATGCTCTAGAGCTTGGGTTCTTAGATCCCTTGAGGTTCCTATAGTCCGTTGCCACCTAAGAACGAAGGGCGAGGGTAAGATGGGCTGGGGAGGAGGAAGCAGACTGAACGCTAAAGAGTGAAGGAAGTTCCCCCTCTCTTCTCCAGCGTTCCGTCTGCTTCCTCCTCCCCGGCCCGTCTTACCCTCACCCTTCGTTCTTAGGTTGCAACGGACTATAACCACCCTTAAAACCCCAGTTATTGAGGGTTCCCAAGAACTTGGCCTCTCCCTTAAGTAAAGTGCTCTCCAAGTGTAAGCACTGTATTAGCAGATCTGAGCCACTCATTGGTGCTTAACTATAAGCCAAGCACACCACAGTATGTACATTATTGCTTATGAGGGCAGTAGCCTCCTGTACTGCTTTATTGCAGCAATGCCGAGACCAGGGGCACTGCCCTTCGAGGCAGACGAGGGTTCCTTGAGATCAAAGTTTGCGAACACCTAGAGTAAGAACACTTGAGCCATATTCTTGTATACAATCAACGCTGAAGGTCGTCACCAGCTGAAAAATGCTGCAGTATTAAAAAAAAAAAAAAAAAAAGAAGGGAATTGTTTGTTTTTTTGGTATCAAAATCTCGATATGCCCCACCCACCCCAGAAAGAGCCCACCCCCATTTTTGGCTCGATTTGCTATATTTTTTTAAACACCGAAAGATAGCCCATTCCTAGTAATAGTAGTGCTGGGATCAATGATGGCCTCGGCGTAAATCCGGCTAGTTTGCTGCGGCTGGATATAAGCGAATGTTGCTGACTGGGAAATAAGTATTTGCACGAATATAACACAAATTGTTTTTTTTAATTAGATACTTTAAAACACATTTTGCGTTATATTTGAAATCCAGTTCAGCCACAAGGCGCCCGAGTCTAGAGAAAGCCATCCCTTTTGCTCAATGCAGGAGATCGGGTGAAAAAAAAGGGGGTTGTGGGAGGGAATTATTAGCTAAGCATTTTTATAGCTTTTGTGTTTGTACAACGAGGGCGGGCCACAGAAATGCAGCATTCCACGGGGGAATGCGGGCACTGGCCAATTCAAGCCAAGCCAAGACTAAAGCTGGTTTTTACGTGCAACACAAGGTGGTTTGTTTATACCGAGGGACCAGAACAAGAATGAGTGTGACCGTGGTACTGGGTCCACCAGTCTTTTTTTTTTTTTTTTTCTGCCTGCACATTTTTTAGTTTCTGCTCCAGAGTGGCCTGGTGTTTGTGTGTTGGTGCTACAGCTTGGTGCCTTGCTTTGTTTGTGGGCTGCCCGCAGAAGACAAAATAAACTACCAGACAAGCAGCCCTGTGCCGCTGCATACTTGCCTGCTGCTGAAGTGGATTCAGACGGAAGGACCTGAGCAGTGAGGGCGAATCCAGTCAAAACATAAACTGACATTTCTTCGATTTCCATTGCCTTTCCACTTCTGCCCTGCCCACTGTCGCCCCGCCCCGCCCCCGCCCTTTTTAGCGCAGTAAATTTACGCGGCCTCGGCTCACGTTATAATAAGAATAACTTTTTTTTTCTTTTTGACCCCCCCCCCCCCCCCCCCCCCAAACTGATATAGATGCAGCCATTTGCACTTGTTAATTCACAGCCCAGACATCAAAACCTGTACTAGCGTCTTATTTGTGGTCACATTATGTTCATGTAAACACAGTCATCTTTGCTTCAAGGCCAGTCGCCACCATAACAAGCATGGAAAGGACACAAACTAAAAATAACACATTTTTTTTTAATATTTTCGATTGTACACCGAAAGTTGGCTTAATCCATACTTTCAGCCGATCTGCTCTTGATATTAGGTGGACTATCTCTCAGGATTTTACAGTATATATTAAAGGCAATTTAAATCTAGAGCATTTAAATATCTCCGATGATGTCAAGGTGCCACTTTAAGTCACTGTGTTACGTGACATGCTTGACCACGGAACACGACCTCTGGTCACGTAGTGCGATTTTATGCGACATCATGGTTGTATGTCACAATGTCACCTAATGCCGTGGCATTGTGCAACGTGACTTTGCCAAGTTTTTATGCGACGCCCATCATGCTGATGACGTCACGGTGAACCTTTCAAAATGTTGGTGACATTGTGCAAACAAACACCGAACGTCATCAGCGTGACCAACATCCGGAAAGGAGTACTCTTCCTTCCCTTCGAGCGCTCTAAACGTCGTCTCGGATAGACGCCCCGGCATGCCCCGAAGAGAGCATGCAGGTGAAGGCACGGACGACAGAGGGCGGGGGTGAGTGAAAAAAGGTGAAGCAGACCCCCACCGAGTCCCTGACAGCCAGGAAGCCGTGGCACATCCAGCGCCGGGTGGTGCCGTCCCTGCAGATGTACGAGAAGCCCCGGTCGTGGTTGCGGTCGGGGGCGCAGAACGACACCTTCTCGATGGTCTGGTCCACCAGGAGCCCCCTGGTGCCGTCGTCCACCACCCGCAGCCCGTCCCCCGTCACGTGCAGGGTACCGCGCACGGGGCGACGCCTCGAGTTGCGCAGCACCTTCAGGGCTTCCTCGCACACCTGCAAAGCCGGCACGAGTCAGGAGAAGTCGAGACGTCGTCCAGTGCGGCGAACGAGCGTGGCACCGTCGGCAGGAGTCAAGGCAAGTCGAGCCACCGTACAATGTGGCGAGCAAGCGCAGCTTTGTCGGCAGAAGTCAAGACAAGCCAAGACGTCGTCCAATGCGATGAGCAAGTTTATCAGCTTCTTGCGCATCGAAGAGTCGAGCTCTGGTTGGAAGCATAGAGGTTTGGACAGCTTTCTGGCACACCTCTGCCCATCAGAATAAACCCTTTTCAAAGCCCCATCGAGCAACATCGGCGGTCGCCATTTCTTGGGCTTAAGTGCATGGTTGGATCGGTTGCAGCCAAATTCTATCACACCACTTGTTTTTTCGATAAGAGCTGAACCGATTTTACGCCGATTGCTGATGCAGCCCTCATGTTCAATGGATGCTTGGAGTATGTGATCAAACTATGGCAGGCTTGGATAGTTAATGCAGCGGCTGATGGATGGCATTCACTTTATAAAAGGGCATATAATGACATCGGCTAGTCCATTGTTCGCTGCGGAGCTGTACGTTTGCCAAAAGAAATGAGCTCGGACCAAACGTGTGAGAACCAGTGCGGTTCTCACCTTTCTTCTCCCTGTTACCCATTTGAAAACCGCTATGGCAAATTTTACAGAAAACTCTATGGCTATGGCAAATCTCCCTTAATAAAATAGTCGAAAAACAAAAAGAAGGTGGGTTGTTTTAATTTTTCTGGTTACACATTCAAAATAATTCAAAAGATGTAATAAAAAAAGAGAAGGTTCCTGTATTTTGTTAATTAGTATTACAGCAAAACCCAAGGAGCTGCTGAGACTATTATAGTGCACACAGACATTTTCCACCACCTTCCGAAATTAATTAGAGTACAAAACAGTATTATGTGACATCAAATTATGTAATATAATGTTAAAAGAAAACAACAAAAAATGTTTAGCAGCCGAATTGTTTATTGTCAAGCGACGAACTGTTCAAACCCTTCAACACGAGTTAACAATCATTTAATGATTGCTTTATTTAATTTCTCATGAACCCATCAGTGGAGTTCAATTTTGTCATAACTGAAAATTTTCCCACTAAATTTAACAAATCACGAATCTACACAATAGTAGTGATCAACGAGAATATATGCGAATGTTGTCATATGTTCTCGCATTCATCACTATGCAATTTAACTGTTGTCGCTCTATTGTTCCAGGGTTTGTATTGCTTCTATTGACTTCATATATAGTATTGTAAATTATGTACAGTGTTCAGTTGGTTCCCTGGTCCAGTGTACAAACAACTTTGCTTTCATGGGTTAGCAAATCTGTATATGCCTCTTTTAAGTAACATAAAACTTTACTACTATAATTATTATACATGCACTGAAAAGGTTTCGACTTTTTTCTTTTACGACTTAAAGGGACCATGAAATTACCTTTTTACTTTTGCCAAATAACTTATATATTAAACCTTCAATGTTCACTGAATGCCAAACAGGCATCCGTTTTCGTTTCGGTTTATTAACTTTAACACAAAAATTAATGAAATATTGACTTTTTCTTTCTCTCCAACTGACCGCAAAACAAGTTGCAGCATAATTTTGACGGTAGTGACGTCCGCTGGCATTGAACTGGAAGTTTTCTCGGCAGTAGGAGAATGGGAGCGTTAGCGGCGGCGAGTTGGCAGTGTGCCGGTAGGTTTTACTGCGCTGATGGCACTGATGTTACCGACATATTTTCTGAATCAGCACATCTCATTGCTGCAGAAACTGTAGTTCGGGCACTTCGGTACACTGCAGACTTTTGGCATAGCCACCGAGCGATTAATCACAAACAATGTAAACACTACTCGAGCAGCCAGAAAACGAAAGTCTGCTCTGCGAAGAAAGCGCGACCAGAAGCAAACCCTTTCAGCAGACGACGGTCGTGAGTTGACTGCACAGGCGCAGTCGGGTCTTTCTCTTGCTTCGTTTACCACACGATAGATGGCGCTTGGCTGTGAGTATTATCAAATTCGGCTATTTTTGTCACATCTCTAATTATACTACAAAATGTGAATCTGAATATTATTTAACAAAACCTTTAGGAAACATTTGCTGGCTATTTATTGTTTATGATCGCGGTGCTGGTGAGGTAGGCTCTTACCAATAGCATGCCTCGGCAAACCTCACTCATGAGGGCCCTCACTTACCCTTATCTTCACAGGTGAGATGAGGGTGAGTGAGTTTCTAAGCCAGGAAAATTCAAGAGTGTGAGGTTGAGTGAGGGCCGTGAGTGTGTGAGGGGTGTGAGGGCCATGAGTGCGTGAGGGGCGTGAGGGCGGTGAGTGGCGTGAGGGTTATGAGTGCATGAGGGGTATGAGGGCCATGAAAGCGGTGGGTGCGTGAGGGGTGTGAGGGCCATGAGTGCGTGGGGGTGGTGAGTGTGTGAGTGGCATGAGTGCGTGAGGGGCATCAGGGGTGTGAGGGCCGTAAAGGCGGTGAGTGCGTGAGGCCCCCTTCAGATGGAGCAACTTTCTCAGCAATTTTGGTGTTGTTGATGGGTTGTTCCGTAGCTTTCCCTAGATCAACACGAATTGCTGAGATCAGGTCCGACTCGAAACAAGCGAGCAACTCGGAGCAATTCGAAGACGTTTGAAGCGGCTGCATCCAATTAAGGATGCAATATTTTCACGTGACACCTTGTGCCGGTGATGATGACAACAAATGACTTGGTTCTGGTTTGAAATTGATCGTTTTTGGAAATAAACTGTTTTGGAAAGATGCATTAGTATTCTCAACGAGATTTAAATGCATAAAAACATGTTTATAGTGTGTAATTGTGTGTCGAAATAGTGCAAGAAAAATAAAATTTTATGATGATGATGGCAAATTACAGTAATTGGTTTCTGTGTCTGAACGCGGGCGGTCCGTGTTGCTGGTGTGGCGACGTCAAATTTCTGGGCGAAATTGCCCCATCTCAAGCGCGCTTGAGTGGCACGAGGGCCATGAGTGCGTGAGGGGTGTGAGAGGTATGAGTGCGTGAGGGCAGTGAGTGCGTGACGGGCGTGAGGGCTATGAGTGTGTTAGGGCTGTGAGGGCGGTGAGTGTGTGAGGGCAATGAGTGAGTGAGGGGCGTGAGGGCAGTGAGTGGCAAGAGGGCCATGAGTGCGTAAGGGGTATGAGTGCGTGAGGGGCGTGAGGGCAGTGAGTGCGTGAGGGCCACGGGTGCGTGAGGGGCGTAAGGGTGAGTGAAGGGCTGAAGGTGAGTGCGACTGTGAAGATGGGGTGAGTGATGGCTGAAGGTGAGTATAGCTGTGAGGGTGAGGGGGAGTGAGGGGCTTAGGCAAGTGTGAGGGTGAGTGAGGGCGACCTAAAATGCCGACCTCTGCCCAATAGGCGACGTGGATTTAGCCGACGTGCTGCAGTTCTGCGGATGCATCGCAGTAAAAAGGCAGATAGCTTTTTTTTTCACACCTTTTACGACGTGTGGTGAATGAAGTTTGATTTCAAAATCGTTTCATGGTCCCTTTAACTTTAGTCAGCAAGCATAAGAAAATCTAAAAAATTAACAAAACATTCCAAAAATGTTTCTGTGCTCTCTTCTCAAAGTTTGATTAGAGGACAAGATAGAGGAGGAAAAAGAAATGAGGCAATTGATCTACACTGAGCAATCATAGAGACTGGTTCAGACCAACTGCATTACGATCATTTAGGAATTTACGATCAGATGGTAGCTATGGAAACGGAGGTCCGCACGAACTGTCATAGTGAACGCAAGGAGCGTAAAGCGGTCGGTCATGTCTGGACCAAACTGATAAAAATGAGTCTGATGATGGGTCTGAGAAGACAGGCCCAACGACGAGAGGTCTCATAATAACTTGCCTGACCTAGCCTTACAAAGACCTGTCTGACGATAAAATCTGACAGTGGCCGGTCTGATGATGGAAACCTGACAAGGACATGTCTGATGATGAGGACATGTCTGAAGATGATGGGTCTGACTGTGACGAGTCTGATGGTGACGGGTCAGATGAGGGCAGGTCTGATGAGGAAACATAATGAGGAAGTCTGATAAGGCTGATCAACTATACGCTGTATAAATATTCACACAACCCCAATTATTTTTCCGATAAGGACATGCCCAATCAAGACAAGTGTGACCGAGCCAGACAGGTGCTAGACTTGTGGACGTTTGCTGCACGGCTACATCAAGCGAAGCCTAACAGAGAGCGGGTAACTCTGACAGCGGTAGCAGCATTACCTGCATTCCCCTGGACTCAAAGACCTCGACGCATCCGAGGTACTTGACGGGGAAGGTGCAGCTTCCTGCCCGGACGGCCGCCTCGTCTGCTTGCCACTGGTGGGGCTTGCTGCACTCCGGCACATGCTCCCTCCGCCCGCGGCGCAGGCTGTCCCGTAGGCTACGCCTCAGTCGGTCCATTCCTGCATGGGAGGACATGGGGAAAGGACAAGTTTAGCTTCACTTCAAAGTCAGAATGCAGTCTAAGGCACACACATGGCTTGCCCACGACGTCATCGCACAACACTGGTAATCATTCCTACTCGTGGAGACAAACAAATTTGGCGCGGCGAAATGTGTGCTGCAGGAAGTGGACGCTTAAAGGCAAGGCTTCATGTGACGTCAATGCAAGCCATCTACACACACAGACTAAAATCGCAAAGTCACACTGCACTTTCTGCATTTGGTTGGACTGAAAGGCAGTAACGCACATTAAAAAAGAGGACAGACGCAATGACGTTGCACATTTGGAGCAGTTTGGCTTGCTCGTCACTACTATAGTCAATGACAGGTTAGAGTTTGATGAAAGCTCCACCCGCCCCTTTGCACTTTAGCAAAATGAACGCTGGGGAGGAGCCGAGCTTCTCTGCTGTGTTCGCTCTGCTGAAGTGGAAAGGGGTGGGTGGAACTTCCACTGAACTCTAACCTGTCACCGACCTTAGCACAGGCTATGCTTCGACACATGGCGAAACGAAGCAATAGAGATGAAGTGCAAAGGTTTTTAAGAGTCCACCACCCCCGACTTTTAGGAGGACATTTACAAGGTGTACATAATTGCGGAATGTTTTGCGGAAATTAATCTATGACGAGCAGATTACTCAAAAGTGTTTGAGGGGCTCAAAATCTTTCTTTTTTCTGCATAAAAACCACCAGTCGAGGATCATGTTCAGGTCAACTCCTACTCTTTCTTCTGAGGTTTCTCTGCAGGATGACGACATAAAGCAAACATTTTTTGTTTTAAGTAGTTGGTTAATTAGAGCCCGAATTAATACATAGTTGTCTTATATATCGTATTTGTCCTATAACATTTTTTTTTTTTGTTGGGGGAAAGAGGGGAGGAGTAGCATTTCTTTAAACACAGTAATGCCTGCCACTTGCTTGACCATACTGTGGTTAGGGATCCTTATTTTAACACTACTGAGATGGAGTCACTGTTTCATGTTGCATTTGTCTCAGTCAACAAATTAATCTGACATGACAAGTACTTCCCTCATCGTTGCAGCAGAGTGGGATGGTTTTTGCTGGCACAGACAGCCCTGTCCTAGAGTTGCATTTCGTTTATTACTAATCGAATCTGAAAGCAAAGGAAATATATAGATAATGGCTGCAGGTTCCATTTTCTTTCTTTTTTTTATCTCGCCACTTGTTAGGCTTCTTTGCCCTATTCGTGCGTCTTCCACTCCAAATCTGTTGAGCAACTGACAAAATGGATTACCTAGTCGCCAAGCAATCTTGTTTTCGTTTGTATCATAAGAAGACTTTCCGTTCCCGTGCCACGCTCAAGTATACTCATTTCATGGATTCATTTTTTGTCTTCTAGTATCCCCTGCTTTCAGCAAGTAAACCTTTTCCTTTGCACAACTTTTGTTAAAATTTGCTCCTTCACTGTTCCAGAATAATGAATCTTTGCCGCTCAGCTTCGCGCTTCATAGCAAATATGGAGATCTATAAATTACTATTGAGCTCTGAATCCAACAACTGTGAAAACGATGAAGTTACAGTTCTAAATAAAGAAAATCCCGAGTAAGGCAAGCTCTAAAAAGTGCCTTCAAGTTGTGAGGTCGAGGTACCATTGTGCATCGTACCGTGTTGAAAAACGTACAGCACGGGAAGGACTGTCTTAGGTTGGAGGCATGTAGACATTAATTAACATTGTTAGTGGGACTGCAATTTGCATGTGGCATGCAGGAAAAAAAAAAAAAAAAAAAAACATTGTGTGCACACTGGGGAAGAAAGTTTGGAAGTCAAAGGGTTAATGACACATGACTCGTTGCATTGCAGTTGAGAAAAAGAGAAATAAAAACCTCATCCACGTTTCCTTTGAAAACAAAAAAATACTAAAGCATGGAAAGGTATATTGAAATCTGCCCCACGATTTATGAAACGAAGGAGTTTATCCAAAGTACCAGTTAGCCAAAGTAAAAATAATAAAGTCTGAATTTTTCTGTATTTAACACCACCTTCGCATTTTCTGTTTACAAGGAATAATTCCCTGCACCCCTGCTCACTTTATCTTCCGACATTGTCTCCTTTTTTCTCCCTAGACTAATTCCCAGCAACCCTGCTCCCTTCCTCCTTCTCCCGTTTTCTCCCTAGACAGTAATTCCCTGCATCGCTGCTCACTTCCCCCTTCTCCCCTCGTCTCCCTGGACAGCAATTCCCTGTTCCGTTCCACCTTCGGTCCCTCCTACTCCCCTCCTCCATAGACAGTAATTCCCTCTATATCCCAGCCCACTTTCTCCTTGCATATCTAGTCCTCCTTTCTCCGTAGTTCAATTTCCTGCTTGCTCCTCCCCTGCCTAGACTCTCCCTCCTACCTTTTCCTCAGTTTTTAGTCTCCCCTAACTTCATCCTTGCCCACATCCCTTTGCTCCTCTCCGTAATTGAATTTCCTATTCTCTGAGCAAAGCGTCAAAAATGTTGAAAGAGCATAAGGAAGACCATGTCCTCCTCTCCTAGTTTTTTGCTGTTTATTTTCCATAGAGTTATTATAATGTATGCTAGAGGCCAGGCATGTAGCCAGGATTTTGTTTGGGGGGGGGGGGGCTTGCCCATGGCAAAATGCTGTATGAGGGGAAGGGGGGAGAGGAGGCCTCAGCAGAATAGAAGATTTTCGGGGGGGGGGGGGGGGGGGGGGGGGGGGGGGGGGGGGAGAAGCAGGCCCCATAACCGCCCCGCCCCCGCCGCCCCGCCCCCCGCCCCCCCGGCTACGTGGCTGCTAGAGGTTCAACTGGTGCTAGTGTGCTGTCGCATACTGAAGCAGACAGCCACCAGTCGAAAATCGACTTCCGGAATGCAGTTCTATGGAAAAAAGTGAGTGAAATTTCTCCGTGTGCTCTGGCATATGGCATACAAAATTTATATCATAAAATACCTGTACTTCTGAATGACCACCCTCATCACAAATCACTTATTCAGGAAGGCATGTCTATACAAGCTGTAACCCATTCGCTACCAAAGCTGGTGAATCTCTGGGCCAAATCGCCGGCTTTGGCAATATGGCCCCGTCAGGGGCCATATTGCCAAAGCCGGCGATTTGCCAAGTTGCGTGAATTTTAGTTTTTTTCAAGAGCTGCTCATAGATGGCACGCTATGTAGACTTGCTGTAGTGTAGTTAGATACATTACCAAATGATGGCGAGGGTCGTTCTCTTCGCTGTGTTTGTTCGAGCTTGTTCTTTTGTGTGTAGTCTTTCCTACTCGATCGCTCCCTCCATGGAGAAGATGGCAGCGTCCACTGTACGGTGTGGCCTTTCTGACGATAAAATCATAGATATCCTATTCGACAGTGGCGATGATGAGACATCTGGTGAGAACAGCGAGTTTTCGCAGCCTTCTGTTGACGATGGGAACGATTCTGACAGCAGTTCTGAGTTCAAATAACGACAAGAGTGTACTTGCTGTGCAACGCCTAAGCGACCGAAGATGCAGTGCTTCAAGATCTTTCATACGAGGAAGAATCTACATGTAAATAAACATGTTTTCTTGTTTTCTGCTTTGAGTTTTACTTAAAAGCTGATTATACAAGCAAAACAGTCACACCTAATGTGGCCCTGTTTTAGGAGAAAAACGAGCGGTACAGACAGTCCGGCAGCGTGCGACACGGACAATAACGAATGGGTTAAATAAAGAAAAGCACAAATGTTTATCTATTATCGCTTCAAAAGTAACAATTTTTTTTCGTGCACGTGTGGCTTTTTTTTTCTGCAGCATTTCTTTGCAGGCTTAAAGAAATCTTTTTGTATGGATGGCTGTACTATGTTGTAGTGTGTGGCCCCATTGTTTGCTGTGTTTGTGCAGGCATAAAAATTTATATGCGTCATTGTTTTTTGTCTAACGTGGGGGACAATCTGGTTTTAGTTCCTTGGTTTTTGTCTTTCTATACAATGTTTTCTAATGCTTATGAGATTTTTTTTTTTATCTCTCATGATCAAGTAGTTTTCGTCCTCCGTGAGTCAAATTTTTGGCAGGCATGCCGATGCCTTTTGTGGCACCCCCCAGACAAATGTATTCCTCGATGGTTGTAGGAATAAACTGATTTGATTTAATTATAAGAGGAAATATCCTAAATAATTTTTATATACTAGGTAGATTGGAACATTCCTCAGTCATGCAGACAAAATAATTGGTCCTCTGGAATTTTGCAGTAAAAATGGAGCTAAAACGGCTTCATACATGTATCTATGTGCACTGTCGGACACTGTTAGCTTGAACACAACGTCGGCGCTTTTCAGCGTGGGAAATAACGTGCCAAACGAACGAAGAATATATGAAAAACCAGGAATATGTAGTAAAAGTAAAAGAAAAACAGTAAGAAATATGTAGTAAAAGTGAATCAGTAACTCCCTGTGCATGTGCGATCAAAATAAATTGAAGTCCACGTAATATATTCAGATTTTCAATAAGTGAGTAGTGCTTTATGCTATCTGCTCTCCGCTATGGCCTCCTCTCTACTCACAAAGCCTGGCAGTTCGATGACGGAGACAGAGTGCCCGGTCGCAGATTTGGAGCGCGAGAATCCGATAGCACAGAGCATCAAAGAGCCATTCCTCGGGAAGCCTGGACGTCGGCGCACAGCTTTTGCAGTGGCGAGGACCCGAAATACACTTGTTTGTTCAGAAGAAGAAGTGTTTCGGCGTCTCGCCACAGCTGGGCGCCAGTCACGTGGCTCTCCTCTCATCCGTTGTCTGCCGCTCCACCTTTTCCCTATCGGCGGCCGCTTCTCATGGCGATCTGCCCGGCTCGGTCAGTATATAGGAGGCTATGTCTGTGCGAAACTGCATGTCCTGTTCTACATTCAAAACATCACCCGCAAGCTTAAAATGTTTGAAAACAAGTGCCTGATAAAAGCTGCCCGGCATAGAAAATAAAAGAAGAGATCTTTCATAGGCCACATATTTAATTCTTTACGTTTTGGATGTTTT